TGGAAAGATTGCCCTTGAACCTTGTTGGAAGGGGCGACACCGGGTTCTCCTCACTACCCAGGTGGCAGCCAAACTTCAGGGACTTGAAACTTGGGTCCACATCTCCCAACTGAAAAGGGCTCCTCCAGACTCTTGGAACTGCATTCTAGCAAGAGATGTAAAATTAAAACAGACTGGGGAGATTCCTCTCCAGAAGCAGTCAACATCTTGAGGCAGACAGCTCTCCCAAGATCACTAATCAAGATCTTCATCTCATATGAAATCTTTATCCTTTTTATCTATTTGCTATTGGCTTTTCTCTCTATTAATGCATGGGAAGACAGCACTATGATTAGAATTTCAAAAATAATACTACTGCAGGAAACCTCGCTAACTGCTGGGTTTGCCATGCCATGCCACCATCAGGACGTAAAGGGAGAAACCCCCTTAATTCACCCTATAAGTAACTTCACTGACATCCCACATGCCACTGTATGCCTAAACTTCCCACAGGCCCCTTTTATAAAATTAAAATGCTAAATCCACAGACCCTCATTCTTTGCCTCAATTTAACCTAACCCTGGGATGGGAAAATGAGATCTGTTGGAGAGAAGAAAAAAAAAATATATATGACATTGCAGAGCAGTCAGTGTTAATCAGATCATGTTTAGACTTGCTTTCGGGCCCATATATTTCAGTGGTCTTTCAATATGCGATAATACAGTATTTGAATCTTGGTTGAATGATGCTAACACCTCTATACCAACCAATGGGTCCATACATGCTAATACTTATGACGGAGCCCTAGGTATACCCCCTGGTGTTCCATTGACCCTTCATCATACCTCAGAAACTCAACATTGGTCCACTCCTTTGAATTTATACTATTGACCAAAAAGAAGTTTACCAGCAGATGTATCCCTCTGGATAAGTGTCATTTGGACAGTCCCTTCTTCCTTCACCTGAAATTAGTACAAACAAATATGTGATTAAAAACTTATCCTTGGGGCGCCTGAGTGGCTCAGTCGTTAAGCGTCTGCCTTCGGCTCAGGTCATGATCCTGGGATCCTGGGATCGAGCCCCACGTCGGGCTCCCTGACCAGCGGGAAGCCGGCTTCTCCCTCTTCCACTCCCCATGCTTGTGTTCCCTCTCTCGCTGTGTCTCCCTCTGTCAAATAAATAAAATCTTTTTTTTTTTTTAAGATTTTATTTATTTGCGAGAGAGAGAATGAGAGACACAGAGCATGAGAGGGAGGAGGGTCAGAGGGAGAAGCAGGCTCCCGGCTGAGCAGGGAGCCTGATGTGGGACTCGATCCCAGGACTCCAGGATCATGACCTGAGCCCAAGGTAGTCGCTTAACTAACTGAGCCACCCAGGCGCCAAATAAATAAAATCTTAAAAAAAAAAAAAAAAAGGGCGCCTGGGTGGCTCAGTCGGTTAAGCATCTTCCTTTGGTTCAGGTCATGATCCCAGGGTCCTGGGATTGAGCCTGCTCAGCAGGGAGCCTGCTTCTCCCTTTCCTCCAAGCTCGTGCTTGCTCTTGTTATTGCTGTTGCTATCTCTGTCTCTCTCGCTCTCAAATAAATAAATAAAATATTAAAAAAAAAAAAAGACGCACAACAGACAAACGGTGAAAGTAATTCTCCAATGGATTTGACATCATAACCATGAGTTTCACGATAAGATAAGAACAATTTAACTCTGATGATGACTGAGAGTGGTACCAATACCGAATTTGTGGTCCATCTATTACCATGCGAGGATGACCAAATGGAAACAATTGTTAAATTCAACAAGGAGGCCATTAGACTGAGGTGGCTCTCACCCCCTGGCGCCTATGTAAGCAAACCCAAATCGAAGCCTGTAAATACCTCAAGGTGACTAAAATGAGACCAAAGGACAACCGATTGCCAACAGCCAACTAGGGTTCAAGCTGTAGCCAATCAATACCTTCCTTACTTTGCTTCCACCTCTTCTCTATTAAAGTTTTCCCCCAGCTCCTGTTGATAGAGTGCTTCTAACCACCTCTGGTTTGGCGCGGCCCCACTTGAATCGATTTTGTGCAAATAAATTCCTACAATTTTAATATGCCTCAGTTTATCTTTTACCAGACCTCATTCTGTCTCCACCCTCCAAATCTATGTTTCCTTTTATATCCCTGTCCCCCGATCCCAAGGCTTGGGAGTTAGCCTGGGCCTTTCTCTGATCAGCACGGTGAGTCCTGCACCAGGTTCTGTGGATTCCACCCTCTTGTTGGCTCAATCAAGGACAGCAGCTAGCCTCTAAGGGGGCCTTTGTTAAAAATTAGTGAAAAGGGCCCCCTTGGGGCCAGTGAATTAGGGAAAGATGCCCCTCTGAGCAGAAGCAGCTTTCAGGTGCTTGCCTAACACATTGCTCCTTGGTGAGAAGAGGTATCCTCTCTTCCTGGCAGACACTGGGGTGCATGACTCACTTGGGGGCACAGGGGGCCCCTTGTTTGCTGGGAAGATTGCACGCACATCCTGTGGCCCCACTTGAACCTTTTGCCTCCCCTCCGTTGGCCCTGCAGCAGCTGCCTTAATGTTATTCTTACCGCAGGCATGGACTGCTTGCCAGAGTCCCCATCTTTCTCTCCTCGCTCCCTCCCTCGTGGGGGGGGGATGTGAATCCTGTGAATCCACAGGACCATCAAGGCTGCCTCCAGAATGCCTTGCACACTGGCTCCAGGCACTCCTCATGCCTTCAGGATAAATGCAGACTCTTAGCCCAGCACCCAAGGCCCTGGCCCTGCTCATTCCTGTTTCCTCTTCTGCCTTTCCCACAGGAAACCCTCCATCACTCGGCACTTCCCTGGCCTTGGCTAGGAAAGCCCTAGCTCCTCTCTCCTCCTGGCAACCTGTCCTGGCCTTTCTAGACTCGTCTCAGTATCTTCCCTCAAAGTCTTCTCAGATTGGGTGGCCTCTCTCTTGGCTTTATCACCCTATGTTGCAACTAAGCCTGGCTAACCATTAGGCACTGAGGACATAGCGCCTAGAACCCACGAGATCTATAGGGGTCCATGGAAACATTTGAATTTACTTTAAAATCGGAAGAGAAAGGTAACATTCAAGGGTCAGAGAAGAGGCATTAATTTTTCTCACATCAGAGAAAATAAAGAGGTTTGTAGGGCCCACAAAAATCAATTAAATATTTTTTGTTGTTTTTTTTAAATAGAGGAAGATACCCGTGGAGGCAAAAGTCCATAGGTCCCATGGAAAGCCCCAGGGTGGTCCTGGTTACTACTGTTTCCCCATCCCACAGTAGACCCGGTAAAGGAAAGATCTGCTAGGAAGGGCGGATGAAACATCTCCCCCTTCCCCGCTGTGTTAGGTAATTTTTTCAGTGATGAGAGTGAAGCTTTATCTTCATAGGGTAGCTCTGAGGATCAGCTGGTGAGAATGCTTCAGGACTACAGAGCTGGGAGCTGTTTCTGGAGCTGTGCGGGATGCGGGCAAGGAGAGAAGCACCACACATTAAAAAATGGCTCCAGGTGGCTTTGATACCTTTCTTTTGGTAACAAATAAAATGATCCTACTGAAGGGCGCCTGGCTGGCTCATGGATAGAGCGACTCTTGATCTGGGGGTTGTGAGATCGAGCCCCACGTTGGGTGTAGAGATTACTTAAAAATAAAATCTTAAAAAAAATTACCCTATTTATACCGGTAGAGAGAGATCTGGCAGGACATATAACCAAAGTGTCTCACAGTGGCCAGCCCTGATCGTGGGTTCCCTTTGTGATTTTTTTTTTTTTTTAACCCATACTTAGGAGCATTTGAAGGTCAGGTCTGTATCTCATTTTCCCTTTGTGGCCCTGGGCTCAGCACAAGTGAAGGACATAATGAACGAAGGAATCCCCCATCTCATGGCACCGCCTGGCAAGCATCAGCACCAGGGCCCCGAGTCCCGAGAGGCTGAAAGCAGTGCAGCTCCTCCTTGAAAGCAAGGCCAGAGGTGCAGAGGACAGAGCTGTAGGGCCGAGACTCAGTTTACCCAAGGTGATATCTCTCGCGGGTCATCGTGGGGACAACAGCTCCAAGTGGTGACAGACACCTGCAGGCACTTAAGAAATTTTGGTTCTGGCCGCTCTTCGCGAACACTTAGGGGATAGGCTTCCTGTGTTCCAAGTAATTTAATCTATCCCATGGCTCCCGAAGGGCTGGAATTGTTTCCTTTTTATAAGCGGTTGCTGCCTGTTAAGTCATAAACAGTATCAGTCTTGTCTGTCTCGTTCACAGCCCAGCGCCTACAAGCGTGTTGGCACACAGTAGGTGCTGAGTGGGCGAACGAGTCTGTCCAGGGTTACTTCTTTAACGGATCGCTGGGTACCTCCCCAGCGAAAAGCATAAAACCCAACTCTAGATAATAAGACCCTGCATGGCCTCCGCACCCTGTAATTTGGATCTCTAGGAATCGCCTTTGTTGTGGGCGACCAACCCCAGGCAAAGCAAGCACCTGCTCCTCCAGCCGGTCCTCGCGGAAAGACCCCAGGCTGCGGCGCCCCTGGCTGCTTCTCCGGGTCCCTTCTCTCTGCTTCCTGGGACCTGGGGCCCCCGAGGCATCCCGGGGCTTACGGCCAGGGTGCTCCCCAGCGCTTCGCAGCCGTGGGGGCGCGCGTCCCGAGGTGCCCGACACCCCGCCCGGGGTCAGCGTTCTTTGCCTCCTCGGGCCGGGCGGGGGTTCTGGGGCTGCGTCAAGGGTCTCGTCTGGCACCCCCCAGGCCTCCGGGGGCCGGAGCCTGAGTCACGGCGGCGCACGCCCTCTCCTCCCGGCTCTCAGCCTGGGGCCCCCTCCGTCCCGCAGCGTCGGGCCCCGGCACAGCCGGCTTTCCCCGAATCTACCGCGCGCCCCCCTCTCCCCAGCCCGAGTCTCTGCGGCCGCGGCCCCCGCCCCCGGCCGGCTCTCGGGGAGCTCCGCGCGTCCGCCCCTCCAATGGAGGAGCCCGAACTCCCGGCGCTCCGGGGCGGCTCCCGCGGGAGGGGGCGCGGCCGCCCCCGCGGCTCCACCCTCTCGGCGGGGCCGCGGCCATCTGGGGCCCCTGCCAGTCGCGTCCGCTCTGGGGCCCGCGCCGAGCTCGCGCGGGAGGAGGCACCCCGGCGGGGACCCGGGCCTCCCACCAGGCGGTCCCCAGCCGGCGCCGGTGAGGGGAGCCAGGCGCTGAGATGCCCCGAGGGGGCAGTGGCTGCGAGCTGAGCCCGGGTGGAAGCGCGTCGCAGCGGACGCGGGCGCCCCTCGCCACTTCGGTGACCCTTCAGGAGCCGGGACCGGAGCCCCGGAGGCGGCGGCGCGGGCCCGCGAGGGCGGCGAGGTCTGTGCTCCTAACGTCTGGGGCGGGCGCCGGCTGCGGAGCCTCGGGCCAGCTCGTCGCCTCCCGCCTCTCCCCCCCCAGCCCCCCGCGAGCTGGCAGGAGGAAATAGCGCGCGGCCCCTTTAAATTTACCCAGGAGCCCTTAAAGGAGCCCCAGGGGCCCCAGACAGGAGTCCCCACCCCGGTCCAGCCCGCGCCGCCGAGCGAGCAGCCAGCCGTCCGTGCGGCCAGCCGCCCCGTGCATGCGCCCCGCGCCCCGGGGCCCCGAGCACCGAGCGCCCCGCGCGGGCCGCCGCCGGCCCCGCGGCCCCGCGCCCCGCCGCCCCGGGGCCCCGCTCCGCAGCGCAGCGCATGGAGCCCGGCGGGGACCACCGGAGCCGGAGCGGCGGCGGCAGGGGCGGCCCCGGGCCAGCAGCGGCCTCGGCACGGGGCCGACGGCTGCCGCCCGCCGGATCGAGCGGCGGCGCGGAACCCGAGGAGGACGACGGCGGTAAGAGCTGGGGCCGGCGGCTCGGGCGGGGGCCCCGGCATGGGGGGAGGGGAGGGCTGCGGCTCCGGGCTCCGGGCCCCTCTCCGCCGCCGAACAAAGGGGGGGACGCGGGCAGGGCGGCCGGGGGCGCCACCTGGCGGGCGCGGATCGCGGCTGCAGGGCCAGCGGGGGAGCCCCCCGCCCAGCTCCCGGGGTCCGCCCGCGGGGCTCGGGCGGATTCCCTCCCCCTTAAAGGGCCTCGCAGCCCCCTCCTTAGAGGCCAGGTCGGAGGGTCCCCAAAGGGCCTGGCCCGGCGCCACGGGGCACGCGCTGTGGGTTGTTGGACTTGCGCCCCCGCCCCTTTCTCTTTCAGACTCCCAGGTGGTCTCCCTTATCCGGCTGTCTCTTAAAAGTCTGCCCAGACTTGGGGGGGGTCCCTTTCGGGGGGCTTCCCCCACAGAGGAGCTGAGCTGGGAACTCCGCTGCTTTAAGTCGGGCTGCTCCTCCCCTCCCGTGGCCTTGCTTACAGACAGGAAACCTTTCTCTACCCCCCCCCCCCCCCCGGCACGTTCTTTCTAGGAAAGCGCATGGCTTGCGCCTCGGGGGGTGGGGGGGGACCCGCCACTACCTTAACCCACCGCGGGTAGTTTTTAAAGGGATGGGCTCGCTCACAAAGGCAGATACCCCCTCCTGTCCGCGCGTTATCGCCTCCCTTCTTTTCAGAAATTTTTGCCACAATTTGTCAGCTATAGTAGGACCAGCCCGTCCTCCCCGTTCGCTCTTAGAGGACGCTGTTTCTTCATTCCCTGCTGCAGGGTCACCGCCTTAAGACCCGTGACGGTTCTGTCCGGGCTAGGGAGACTCTGCCCTAATCTCGGAGCTCCCCTCCCAGAAACTCCCCATCCCCTTTTGTTTTTAAAGAATCTCAGCTCCTCCCCTTTTTTGGGCTCTTAAAGGGCCAATCCACCTTAGACTAGCTTAGATCCGGCGCTGGAAGGATGCTTAGAGACCAGCTAGCTACCCAGTGCCTTTTCAGACAAAGAGTCTGAGGCCCAGAGAGCCACATGACTTATCAAAGATCACAGAGCAAGTTACCAGTGAAACCATACTGGAACCGAGGTCTCTGACTTGGAAGCCAATGCTTTTTGCTTTGGATCTACTTAAATCAAAACAGACAAAAAACCACAGTGGTGACAGGAGTCCTCTCTGGTCCTGTCTTTTGTTTCTCTGACCCTGAGATTCTCCAGTGGGAGCACGACCACACTTGTCCATTCAGCTTATGTGGCCAGGAAACCCTTTTCTAAATAAAATCGGGTCCAAACTGCAGGGAAGGTGGGGGACTGCTTGGGGTGTCAGCCTGTTTGGCAAAAGGGCACACTGCTGGGTTAGTGTGCTGTGCTTGGGCCTCTCCGTGCCTGCCCCTTGATTGCTGGGCAGTGGCCGGCTCTCTGCCAGAGTAAAAAATAAACCCCTAGAAAGACTTAATGGGCTCCAGTGGGTGGTGACCACTCCCTTCCTCAGAATCTTCAGTAGCCACTCCGGTGGCCCTCCTGCCATCCCCTTGCAGGGTCATCGGCTCTCCCAGACTGTAGGGAAGTCAGGGTCCTAGAAACTCCTTTCCCTGGAGGTGTTGACAGCTTTGTCATGGGGATCCCTCCCATGGGTGCCTGCATTTGGGGAACTGACCACGCTTAGCACCGGACTCTCAGAAGGCTGCCTTTGAGGCATTATTGGAAAAAGGGAGATGATGTTTGGGTGGGGCCCTCCTGGCTGGGGCCTCAGACGGGTGGGTCCCGTGTGCAGCCCTGGATGCAGACAGATGCCCCCTTTGTTCTGCCACTGCCAGCTCTGCTCTGGCCGTAAGGGCCCGGCCTGCTGCTCTCCTGGCTTTCCCCTCACAGCCCGCCGCCAGAAAGGGGGCCGAACAGAGCTGGCTGCCGCCTTGGCCTTCACCTTATTTTTTAAAAAGTCAGAGCTAGTCCCTCAGCAGTGCTCGGCATCCTTTTGTTCTTGGTCCTCTCTTAAAGGGTCCTCACTCTTTGTAAAGGGCCAGTGTTTTGACTCCAGGCTCTCCCGCATCCCTTTTATTGCTGTTGTCATCCCTTTCCTGCCCCCTCCCCCCTGCCGAACGACCCCTCCCCCCACCTCCCTTTCTCTGCAAAATCCAAGCCCTGGGTTTGTTTCCTGGATATCGGGCATTGAAAACTGTCTCCCCTTCTCCCCCCCTCTTCAGGGCAAGATCTTCAGCTGGAAGGGGGTGCCTTGGGGTCCTGGGGGAGTGCCCCCCTGCCCTCCTCCAGGGCCAGGGGCCCAGCACCTTCAGGCAGGAAATACTCAGACCACTGTGAGGCCCGGGCCTCAAGGCCTGGAAAGAGCCGCATTCCCGGCCGTGACCACCGGCGCTATTACCACGACCACTGGCGGCTGGAGTACCTGATGGACTTCAACCCTGCCCGCCACGGCATGGTGTGCATGGTGTGTGGGAGCTCGCTGGCCACGCTCAAGCTCAGCACCATCAAACGGCACATCCGCCAAAAGCACCCCTACTCCCTGCACTGGAGTCCCCGGGAGAAGGAAGTCATCAGCAACAGCTGGGATGCCCACTTGGGGCTTGGGGCCTGCGGAGAGTCCGAGGGCCTGGGGGCCCAGGGGGCTGAGGAGGAGGAGGAAGAGGAAGAGGAAGAGGAGGAGGATGGGGCTGGCCTGCAAGCTTGCCCACCCAAGGGCCCAGGTAACACAGGACATGGAGAGGCAGGGGCCTGGGTGGCAGATGGGGCCCGGTGGGGCCAGCCCTGACTTCTCAGCCAACAAACTCATTTTCTGGAGCGAGTCACCGCTCTGTGTGGGGTAGGGTCTGCTTACTGCCCTTACTGTCCAACATCGGGGGAGGGACAGTGAGAGGAAGGGGTCTGCACCATCTCTGATAGTCTTGGCCTTCCGTGGTTTTAGAAGGATCAAGGAGCGTGGAGGTGGGGAGGATAGGCGGGGGAAAGGCTGGGAGTGGAGGGTGCTGGAAAGGTATGGCTTGACAGTGAAGTCCAGGGAAGGGGCTAGAATCTGGGTGTCAGGGAGGAGTGGGTAGAGCTTCGGGTTTGTGTGCAGGACGATCGGGAGGTGGAGGAGTTCAGGCCTGAGGAGAGAGGAAGAACAGGGCAAAGGTTAGGCTGGGGGCTCAGAGTCAAGAGTGAGGGAGAGGCTTGTGGAGGACCTGGCTGTGGCGGGGCGGGGGGGTGGGGGTGCTCCCTGGAGGGCCAGCACCTCAGTTCCTTCCCTCCCTCCAACCCTTTCAGGCAAAGCCCCAGCTGGTGAGGGCAGCCGATGCCAGCGGCGAGGGGGCCCAGTGGCACCCCGGGCTCGGCGTCGGCACCTCTCAGCCTCCCGGAGGGCCGGGGGCAGCAGGGGGCTGGGGGCCCGGCGCCTGGAGCGGAGGCTGAAGGAGTCCCTGCAGAACTGGTTCCGGGCAGAGTGTCTCATGGACTATGACCCTCGGGGGAACCGGCTGGTGTGCATGGCCTGTGGCCGGGCACTGCCCAGCCTGCACCTGGACGACATCCGTGCCCACGTGCTGGAGGTGCACCCCAGCTCCTTGGGGCTCAGCGGCCCCCAGCGCAGCGCCCTGCTGCAAGCCTGGGGTGGCCAGCCCAAGACACTGCCTGAGCTCACTCGGTCCCCACCAGGTGCGAGGCCCCTCCCAGGGCCGAGACCCACCCTCCATATTAGGGCTGCAACGCGGGGTCTGTGGCCAAAACCGGGAGGGACTCCTCTCTACACCCACCCATGCAGAGACACACACCACACACCCCACACCCCCCCACACCGGCTGGGGCCTGTAGATTGGGGCTGGGGTGAGGACCCCTCTGCGTGGGTAAGGGCAGCCCTGCCACCAGGCTGAGCCCGTCTCCCTCACCCCTTCCCCAACAGACGATGACCTCGTCCCCCAGGACCTGACCAGAAAGAGCCGGGACCCCGCCCCCACTGCTGGAGCCCTGTCCTCTCAGGATCTCAGTCCCCCAGACGTAAAAAAAGAAGAGGCTGGCTGGCTCCCTGAGAGGCCCGGGCCCGCAGAGGAGGAGGAGGAGGAGGAGGAGGGCGAGGAGGGCGAGGAGGGCGAGAGGGTGGGGGTTTCGGGCCGGTCGCCGCAGGGCCGTGACCGCCGCCGCCGCTACCAGGAGCGCTGGCGGCTGGAGTACCTCATGGAGCTGGACGGCGGCCGGCGCGGCCTGGTGTGCATGGTGTGCGGGGGCGCGCTGGCCTCGCTCAAGATGAGCACCATCAAGCGGCACATCCGCCAGCGCCACCCGGGCTCCACGCGCCTCAGCGGGCCTGTCAAGGCCCTCATCGCCCAGGAGTGGAGCGAGAAGGCCGCTCACCTGCTGGCCCTGGGGCTGCCCAGCCCCGAGTCCCCCGGGGACCCTGCCGCCCCCGGCACAGCCGCAGCCTCCGAGGAGGGGGGAGGGGAAGAGGAGGAGGAGCCAGAGGAGGAGGAGTGGTGGGGTGAGCTGGCGCAGGGCCAGAGCAGGTGGCGCGGGAGAGCGGGGGCAGGGACCCGGGCCAGGCAAGGGGCAGAGGGCTGGGAGTGCTTGGGTGGAAGCGGGCGGGGAGAGTGGAAGGTTGAAGGGGAGACTGGGGGGGACGGGGCAGGAGGGCCAAGGTGGGCGGCTGTGGAGCTGAGGCGCGAGACGCGGGCGGCTTGCCCTCTGCCGGCTCCAATGCGGTCCTTTGTCCCTTCCTAGGCGATGTCCCGCTTTCCCCAGGGGAGCCGTCGGAACGGCCCGCCGAGGACGACGAGGACGACGAGGACGGCCAAGAGCCCGGGGGACTCGCCTTCCCGCCGCTGCCCCCGCCCCCGCCGCCGCCCCCGCCGCCGCCGCCGCCCCCGCCCCGCAGCCGGGAGCAGCGGCGGAACTACCAGCCGCGCTGGCGGGGCGAGTACCTGATGGACTACGACGGCAGCCGGCGCGGCCTGGTGTGCATGGTGTGCGGGGGCGCGCTGGCCACGCTCAAGGTCAGCACCATCAAGCGGCACATCCTGCAGGTGCACCCATTCTCCATGGACTTCACGCCCGAGGAGCGCCAGACCATCCTGGAGGCCTACGAGGAGGCGGCGCTGCGCTGCTACGGCCACGAGGGCTTCGGGCCGCCGGCCCCTGCGCCGCGCGACGGCGGCGCGGACCTCAAAGCGGGCGCCGTCTGTCGGGCGTAGCGGGCTCGCGGGGCGGGCCGGGCGGCTCCGCCCTGGGCTCCGCCGGCCCTCGGGCCCGGACACCCTGCTTCCCGCGACCCTGGCCGCCGCCGCCGCTGTCCCCCGCCCCGCTGGCCGGGCCGGGCGGAGATAGGAATTGGGTGGGGTCGCCGGCTTCCGCTCGGAGCCCCGGAGCCCCCCGGGCTGGTCGGTGCGCTGCGGGGAGCGCTCGCTCCCCTCGGATGCGGAGCCCTGGCCCTCCCCGCGCTGGGCCCCACGTTTCCCGAGAGGCCATCGCGGCCTCCAAGCGTGTGTGCGCGGAGGGCCTCTAGCTCCCGCCCGCGCCGGGCCCGGGTGGGGGTTGCCGACAGTCAGTATTAGGTCCCCAGGGCCGGGGGAGGGCAGGAGGGCCGCAGGCCGGGGCCCAGGTCCTTGAGGCACTGCACGCCGGCAGGCACGGCCCCCGGGTCGGGGGCGGCTGCTGCCGGGTCCTCATTGGTATTCGCGGCTGCTCGGAGGCCCGGACTGCGGACGAGGGCCTCCAGCGGAGGGCGGGGCGACGGGGCTCGGGAGCCCGCCCGGGCGGGGAGGACGCTTGGACCGCGGGCGGGCAGCCCGGAGGCGGGGGCGGAGCTGGGCGGGGGCCACCCGGCAGCTGCGCCAGCCTCCCAGGCGGGCTCTGGGGACAGCGCGCCCCGCGGCCCCTTCTGCCTCCCCCGCTCCTGCCGCGCCTTCCCGGACCCCGATCTTGTAAAGGGATTAGCACTTTTCTCCTTTGCTCCTCTCCTGCTCCCAAGACCTCCGTTTTCCCCCAGACCCAGTCAGGCACTCCTGCTCTATCGTCCCCGTCGGTCCGAGCCCGGGGCACTGGAGGTCCCGGCAGTTGGCGTTCTCTTCCCGTCCCCTCCCTGTCCCCCTTCGTACACGTTGGACGGGCCACCCATTCTCAGTCCCCCAGGGCCTGGGGCCGGGCCTCGGCCTTCTTTTCCCCGCGGCAGCGCCAGGCCCGGTGGGGCCGGGAAGGGGCCCCGCGATCTCCCAGGCAGGTCCGAGTGGGATGTGTAGATTCATTCTCCTGTGGAGAACAGGTGGCCCCGAGATCAGGCCCTTTTTGCTCTTTGTATTTTATTTTGAAACTGTATTTAATGCTTTTATATGAAAGGGGGAGGGGCGGGGAGAGAGCTGTCCCAGTCACCCTTATGTGCAAATGTCTTATTTATTATACGTGTATCAGAGATAAGCTGTGAGGTGGTGGAGGAAGGACCTAAAGGAGGAAGGAGTGAGGACAGAGGTGGGGATGGGGGCCCCAAACATCCCACACTAATGTGTGACTCTCCAGGCCTCTCTGGGCCCGTATGTCTGCTCTTCACATGGCCAGGCCGGTTCCTTTGGTCTTACAGCCTGAGAGTGGGGAGGTGGGACTTGAGGGCGAGGCCTGGAAGCAGAGGAGCCCTGGCACCTGGGGCCAGGAGCTGCCTCTGTGGGCGGGAAAACACAGCAAGGAGGAAGCCCTTCCTCATCCCAGCACCCCCAGGCCAGAGCCCACGGTTCAAGTGCCTCAGGCCCAGTCCCCTTGACTCTTCCTGATTGGGAATTGGATTTTATACCATGGATTTTATAGCATTTTTATATAACTCAAAATTGTCAGAGTTGGAATGACCTTGGAGATCAACCAGACCCCGTCCCCTTGACCCCTTCCACAGACAGGTAGTGAAGTTCGGAAACTGAAATGATCACACACAGCCAGGTAGGAGCAGTATAGAACTAGAATAAAAAGCTCAACTCCCGACTCAGTGTTGTTTGCACTACACCACACTGCCTCCCAATCTCTGGTCCATTATTAAGATTTCTTTTTCTCGTGGGGCTTGCCGAAGGATGGCACGCGGTGGGTGCTGCAGTCTGTTAGAGCGCAGTGACGCTCCAGGGGATGGCAAAGACCTGCACGCCTCCCTGGGATCAGTGTCGTCCAGGGCAGCTCTGGCCGCCACAGGCTTCAGCTCCAGGGTTCGGGCAGCAGCCTCCTCCCTCAGAAGTTCGGGAGCAGGGCTGACGGCCACCCATCCCATGGCCTCTCCAGGAGGCCAAGGGCTCTGGCATTATGTTTCCTGTTGTAGATGCCACCAGGGACAGCATTCCCTGAGAAGTGAATTCCATGTTTGAACCTCGAGGGGTTTTGAGTCAGTATTAAGAGCTTGAGAACAGGGATTATGGATGGCACCTGGCTGGGTACTGCCATTCTTTTATTTTCCTTCATGCATGTTATTTTCGGATCCAGAATGAGTCTTATCACTTTTTGCTACTTGCCTGTTCAAAAACAGGAGGCAGATTGGGGTGACCTATTCTGGTCACCCAAGCCCACTGCCAAAGTTCAGGTAAGCCAGGACAGAGAGCTGGTCAGGAATGGCTTTTCCTTTTGACAGACAGGGACGGAGGCCTTGGGAAGACAGGAATGAATGTCTTGAGAGGCAGCCCCAAGCACTCCAGGGGGTTCTCAAAGTGTGGCCATTGGACCAGTAGCATCACATTCGGAACCTCCTAGAAACACAAATCCTTGGGCCCCAGCTCGATGAATCAGAAACTGGGGTGGCACCCAGCAATCCTTTCTGATAAGCCCTCCAACGATCACAAAGCTGAAGATCTGCGCAGGAGTGGGCTCAGTGCCACTGCAGTGATTCCTGCTTTGACTGCCCCAACGGCCTCTTGGGTTGGGGGGGTCAGGTGGTCCTCCTCTCTCTGTGCCTCCTCCTTGCCTTGGGAGTCTGACATCAACAGGTGAAGTTTCTTCATGAAGTTTTTGTTAATGGTATGCTTGCTATTATGGCCAATATGTAAATGTTACTCTGAATCCATATTTATATGCCACGTTAGAGACATTACTCGAACATTTGTATGTGTATTTGTGAAGTTGTTTGCTTCAGTTATTTTTAAAAAATTTCAGCCTAAGTTTTCTAAGAGGTATGTTGAATAAATTTTTTAAAATCCAGCTTAAGGGTCATGGCAGCCTTAGTTTTGGGGAAGAATAAATCTGAAGGGATAAAGTTCTGATGTATGTGGTCTCCACTTTCCACGGTGAGTGACTCTGTGATGTATAGGCTGCTTCCCGCTGCAGGCAGGCGACCCTCCGAGGTTGGGGTGCGGCTGAACTGGGACAGCAGACCCTCTGGCCCCTTCCACTCATCCTCTTTCTCCTGAGGTCACCTCTTAAGAGGGTCTCTGTGATCTTTCAGAAAGCAAACGCACAGCTTTGCTCTCCTATGGAAATTCTGCAATCTTGGGAATCATTACCAATCTCAACTATTAGTTGCTTTTTAAAGCCTCAAAAGTGGAGTGGGGATGGGGGCCGGTGGAAGCCTGGTTCTTACTTTACCCAAACTGTATGTATAAAGAATAAAGTTAGCAGAATGACACCACAGTCACTGTGTTTTGTTTTTTGTTTTTTTTAATTAATACCACATCAATTTGCAGTTTTACAGGAACCAAGATTCAAGTTCCTTAGGTGCTACTGTATTTTTATGTTGCACGCACATACACGCACACACAGTTTCATTAGTAATAGTTCATCTATAGATTTTCCTTAAAAAAAAAAAAAAAATTCCTGTGTGGCACAAAGATCTGTCCAATTACCTAAACACAGCAGTAACAAAACAAAAGAGCTAGGTGTGGAGGCTTCCAGTGCAGAGAAGGGTCCTTTGGAGGGGAAGCCCAAAAAAGTTGATCAGTGCACTGACTTCTTGGGAGGGCATAAGATAGGATGGACAATGTGAAATCAGCTTAAACATTAAAAAGGAAAGGGGGCTAAGTAAATAGGAAAATGGAGTAAGGCAAGGGTACCTTTTACCCATCTAAATGGCTGAAGTAACTTTTCCAAAACAGTAGAAAGAAAACTTCCACTATCTTCTACAGAGTTGCAGTGCTTTGGGACCATCAAAGACTGTAGCCCTTACTTTCAAGTCACCAGCGCACATTCCCTCTGGATTACCATGACCACAAGTTTTACAACCTGAAGGAACTCACAGATGACTTCTTTCAAGTTGACTGAATTTTCATGTTGGAAAGGGAGAAAGACACTTGTCTCAACAGGAATCAGATTCCTGATCACCCTCCATCTGATGTCTGTCTGGGTTGTTCTGTTTATCTTTTAATTGCACACGGAGCCCATCCACACAATCTGGTCCTGCCTGGTCGCCCTTACCTAAAACTTCTTGGAAAACACTCTCAAAAGGAGCACCCTGGGCCATGACAGAGGTGCTGAGACATTTTATGTGCCTGAAGATGAAAGGAACCCTCAAAACATAACACACACGTAAAGCTAGCCTCAAAGTTAAAACTCCATATGAACCACAGAACATACTTTCTTACACTAATTTGTGGTCTCTTAACCACAGACACACACAAAATCTCCTCTCAAGCCAGCTTGGCTTTGGTCCTTAGGATACAATGATAAGCATAGGTTAAAGATGTAGCATGTGAAGGAGGAAGCTGCGGAGAAAAGATAAAAGCAAAAAAGGCCTTTTATGTTTCTGTATTCACCTCCTGAGAATGTTCCCCCCCCCCCCCGCCATGGACTGAGACAGGATTACAATAACTCAACAACTGAGGAGCCCACATGCAGATTATTTTTTTCTCTAACAAGTTTACAGCAGTGTACAGCAGTTACAGACATTTATTTCATAATAAGAAAAGTACAACCATATTTATTAAACTCGAGGTGAGGTGGGCAGGGAAGAAGAAGGAAAGCACATTCAGGAATGAGTTCTCAAACTAAAGCTCAGAACTGGTGCCTACAAGAATAGACACAGACGCCACCCTCCCAAATAGAAGAGACTTTCCTTTCCTAGGGGTGAGCGGGAGGGGAGGGTCGTCCCAGCCCCACCTTCCATTTCCATTCTGGGTTCCCAGATGGCATTCTGGGAATCAGAACTCTATCACCTACAGGTTATTCATAGAGTTGGAAGTTATAGCATTACGTGAAGAAGAGGAATATCAGAAGTAGCTGCTCACATTGTGGGGCAGGAAGATGGGATCAGAGGGCTGCCAAAAACCCCATGGGAAGGAATCCCACTCTTGTCCCCAGATAATTTCCTCATAAGTTAATCATTATTTCTTAACTTAAAAATAAGGGTAAAACTCTGATGGGAAGCTGTGTAAGACTAGTCCTTGAGAACTGGATAGCAGAGTCCAAGAGCAGTGCTTTATCTTTCATTTTCTCCTTGACCTCCAATCTCTCCCCTTTCAAGCTACAAGTAAAAGCTCCACCACCATTAAGGTACTGATTTATCCTATTAATTTGACTCTCTCTTTATTCTTTTGGGTCCTAAGATATCAGTTCTTTTTTTAGTCCAACAATTCTTGTGCTTGATACTGAGGGTAAAGGGAAAGGAGGGGAGAAAACACCAAATTAAGAAAAAGAAGCTTGGAATGCAGGCTCGAGCTGACACTGAGCACTTCCTTCATAGTACAAGTAATAACGTTATAACTATTAAGTGGTGTTTTAGTAACTGTTGCATTTCTTGTTCTCATGTACTTATTCTGCCTTCTTTTTTGCGACTCCGGGGAGTTTTGCTTGTATCCTATTGAAGAAAAAAAAAAAGAAAAAGGTGAAAACGGACATTAGTTGTAGGTTTTTACTTTAACAGTGACACCGAAAGACAGCCCTGGACTTGCTGGAGCAATGTGACAAATAATCTCCCATCTCCACAGGGCTTATTCTGGATGAAAAGAGGCAGGGGCCGAGTCTGGTCTGGGATGAGCCGAGGGGTCCGCAAAGATCCATCCCCACTCCCTGCCATCATGCCTGCAGCCTGTCCTCTTTCACCGCCTGCACCTCTCACGTCCCTCACTGGGGCCTCCAGAGAAGAATAAGGGGTATGTGGGCATAACGTCTGCTGTGTTCCACACGCTGGCAGTGCAAGAATCCGTTTCTCTGGGAATGCTAGTGACCCCCTAGTGCCACAAAAGGAACCAGAAGTCAAGGGTCAAGGTGACAGATAAAAAGACTACAGGAGGGGCGCCTGGGTGGCTCAGTTGGTTAAGCGACTGCCTTCGGCTCAGGTCATGATCCTGGAGTCCCGGGATCGAGTCCCGCATCGGGCTCCCTGCTCAGCAGGGAGTCTGCTTCTCCCTCTGACCCTCCTCCCTCTCATGCTCTCGGTCTCTCATTGTCTCTCTCGCAAATAAATAAAATCTTAAGAAAAAAATTTTTTTAAAAAAAAGACTACAGGAGCTGGCAATAGTTTCTGGCCCCTCACAGAACACCAAAGCTACCCTTCATTTTGTGCATTAAGGTTAGTCATCGCTAAGGTCATTCACATACCTCTCAGCCAATGTCAAAGCCACTCCTCACAAATCCTAGATCCCACAGCAAGGACTGACCAAGACATCAGTTTTAAAGCTAAGCTATGTCCGTATTTCACAATCAGGAGTAAACAGCAACCAGATACGGATTTGTGCTAACTGTCCTTGCCTGGTTTTAGCTCTAATGTATACCTGAAAAAGCAAAAGAGCAAGTAAAGACCCTGGCATCAAGCCAGAGTGGTGGGCATATATTCATAGTTTCCACTTATCAAAACTGGAAAAAGCATTAAAATCTGAGGTGTGAAAGGGACTGGGGCGGCGTGTGTGTGTGCGCGCGCACAAAAGAGATTTAGCTGGGGTGCCTGGGTGGCTCAGTCGTTAAGCGTCTGCCTTCAGCTCAGGTCATGATCTCAGAGTTCTGAGATCGAGCCCCGCATCGGGCTTCCCGCTTGGCAGGAAGCCTGCTTCTCCCTCTCCCCCTGCTTGTGTTCCTGCTCTCGCTATCTCTCTCTCTGTCAAATAAATAAATAAAATCTTTAAAAAACAAAACAAAACAAAAAAGATTTAGCTGCTTGTGTTTTATTTCTTAAATATCTGAATATGAAAAAATGTTAACATCTCAATAAGAAGTGTGGGTTCCTTAGTATTTGCCATAATTACAAAAAAAAAAAAAAAAAGCAAAAAAAACACCAAACAAAAAACCCCAAATGGTTCCTTGGTAGAAGGAGTCATAGAAATGTCTACCAATATTTTATTACTTGATTTTAATATTAAATTGGTTCAAAAAAAAAAGAGAAAACAGGGATTTGGTAGTTTTAGGAAGGGTAGCATTGTGCCTTGAGTCATTTATTTAGTAAAGCTCTTATTTCTGAAAAGAGAAGGAAGAGTTTGGCTTAAAATTGATGCAGGTGGGCGGGCAGCTACGTACACTTACAAGGCCGATTCAGAAAGGCAAAGCTGCTAATTCCACTGATCTTAAGACACAAAGGATGTTTTTTAAAGAAGCAGGATGAAATAATTTGTAGTAAAATCAAACTAGTAACCAACATTTTTCTTCAGGATGAAAATTCCCTTTCTTTGAATCAGTATTTTATAGAGGAGGCTAAAAATAATTGGGGAAGAAAAGCAACACGTTCTGATAAAATGCGGAACTAAAGCATACTTACTTTTCAACAATCGACTTGGTCTGATCGCGGGCAATGCCAACATAGTGATCAATCTGGGTCTTTAAGGAAGGGAAGAGACTCAGTTATGGCAACACACAGATTAACAATTTTCCTGAAGGTAATGTTCTGTTTCCTAGTGTTAACCATTTTTTAAAAACACTATTGCATATTCTGGGAAATGAAAACAATGCCAGTTTTTAAAATTTATTATTATTTTTTATTTCAAGTGGGCTCCACACTCAGCACAGGGCTTGAACTCACGATCCTGAGATCAAGAGTCGCATGCTCTACTGACTGAGCCAGCCAGCTGCCCCAATGATGCCCAGTTTTTATGAGTATTTTAAAAACTTCAGGTATTGGGGCGCCTGGGTGGCTCAGTAAATCAAGCCCCACACACCAGGCTCACTGATCAGTGGGAAGCCTGCTTCTCTCTCTCCCCCCTGCTTGTGCTCTCTTGCTCTCTCTCTCAAATAAAATCTTAAAAACAAACAAAAACCCAAAAACTTCAGGTATTAGGGGTGCCTGGGTGGCTCACTCAACTCCTGATCTCAGCTCAGGTCTTGAGTTCAAGCCCCACGCTGGGCTCCATGCTGGGCGTGAAGCCCACATAAACAAAACAAAACCCATAAAGACCCTTCGGGTTTCAGACTTTAAATTATGCCATAAACACCTTATAATACTCTGTTGAAGTAAAAATCACTCATTTCTTTTGCTAAGGTTTTTTTTTGTTTTTGTTTTTTTTTAAAGATTTTATTTTTATTTATTTGACAGAGAGAGAGACAGTGAGAGAGGGAACACAAGCAGGGGGAGTGGGAGAGGGAGAAGCAGGCTTCCCGCCGAGCAGGGAGCCTGATGCGGGGCTCGATCCCAGGACCCTGGGATCATGACCTGAGCCGAAGGCAGACGCTTAACGACTGAGCCACCCAGGCGCCCCTTTTGCTAA